TGTTGTTAATCAATGTATCGTCTGTGATTCGGAGACGTCTCCCGAGAGAGGAGGAGAGAGAGAAAGGAGAGGAGAGAGGAGAGGAGAATGACCTTGCACGATGGTGATGCTGAGCTGAGAATGGAATTGTGAGTCACAGCTGAGGTTTCCGGTTGAGGAACCTTCCTGTCTGTATTTTCTTCTTTCTTTCTCTTTTCTTTCTTTCTTCTTTCTTTCTTCTTTCTTTCTTTCTTTTTCTTCTTTCTTTCTTTCTTTTCTTTCTTTCTTTCTTTCCTTCCTTCCTTTTTCCCTTCTTCCTTCCTTCCTTCCTTCCTTCCTTCCCTTCCTTCTTCCTTCCTTCCTTCCTTCCTTCCTTCCTTCTTCCTTCCCTTCCTTCTTCCCTTTCCCTTCCTTCCCTTCTTCCCTTCTTCCTTCCCTTCCCTTCCCTTGCCTTCCCTTCCTTCTTCCTTCCCTTCCTTCCTTTCCCTTCCCTTCCTTCCTTCCTTCCCTTCCCTTCCCTGTCCCTTCCCTTCCCTTCCCTTCCTTCTTCCTTCCTTCTTCCTTCCTTCCCTTCCTTCCTTCCTTCCTTCCCTTCTTCCTTCCCTTCCCTTCCCTTCCTCCTTCCCTCCCTCCTTCCTTCCCTTCCTTCCTCCCTTCTTCCTTCCTTCCTTTCCTTCCCTCCCTTTTTCTTCCTTCCCTTCCCCTTCCCTTCCCTTCCTCGGATTGAGGAAATCCTTCTCTTGTATCTTATTTTTTCTTTCTTTCTTTCTTCTTTCTTTCTTCTTTTTTTTTTTTTTCCCCTTTTTTTTCTTTCCTTCTCTTTCTTCTTTCTTTCTTTCTTTCCTTCCTTCCTTCGCTTCTTCCTTCTCTTCCTTCCCTTCCTTCTCTTCCTTCCCTTCCTTCCTTCCTTCCTTCCTTCCTTCCTTCCTTCCTTCTTTTCTTTCTTTCTTTCTTTCCTTTCTTTCTTTCTTTCTTTCTTTCCTCCCACTCCCTCTGCCTGAGCCAAGAATGGCAAGTATGTGCTAAGGCTGCCACCAAGGAGGTCCCTCCCAGGCCCAAGGGGACGTCGGCAGCCCTTCCCACGGGCAGCGCCTGGTTAATTTCAGCATCCTTTTGCGCCTGACTTTCCAGGGAGCCAGCACCAATCCATGAGCCTCTGCACAGAGCAAGGAGCTGTTTGTCATTAAGCCAGTTGAATGGGCATACCTGCCTCTGGTTTCCCTGCTCGCCACATTCTTTCACGGGCCTCACTGCGCGCGAACTTTGCATGCCTTCATGATGACATGCCTACGCAGGTATGCCATGTGTCAACCTGACCCACACAGGGGAGCATGCCAAGGCCCACAGAGTGAGCCTCTTATTAGAAAGCTTTTGCCTTCCATTTTTGACACCCGACTTGACCCTTTATATTCACAACGTTATTGTGTAACCTGCCAAATTCCTGACTCTATAAATTGCCCATCAGCCGCGTTAGGAATGCCAACTACTGTATTCTAGCACCAGCTACATGTAGCACATTCAGAGCCTCTGCAATTCCAAAAAGTGCACTTAAATAAGATGGCGCGGCGCTACTCGATAGTTTTTTTTTCGTCTGACATTAAAGGCACGCTGCTGTATTAAATTGTTCAGCATGGAGTTGTATTTGTAACCTGTAGGCCATCTCGAATTAATTCTTAAATTTTTTTCACGTTTACCAGGATTCAGCCTTATGCAGTGAGCCAGTTAATTGTTTTTTTTTTTTTGCTAGACACATGAATTCTTGAAGCAGATTGTAATGTGTAACAGCATCGATCGCCGTGTTTGTGACGATTGCTCAGGTGTTGTTGACAATTCTCATCGTCCTTTCGTTGGCTTTAGTTCAACATGCCCATGATGCAACAATAAATGTGAAAGAGCAAGGAGTGAAGAGCCCCCCCCCCAGCATGTCGGATGGCTGGGCCGACATTGGAACTTCGTACGACCAACCCGGCTGGGTGGGGGATGTGCTTCCAAAAAAAAAAAAGAAAAAATGTGCCTAGGTCGAAGAATATATCACTGAGGTTTCTAGAGTAAGCACTTTGAAACGTTTCTTTCTGCGCTATCTGGCGCTCGGGGCCTCGGCATGTGGGAGCGAAGCGCTAGATTGTGGAAAGAAATAGAGAGTCGAAGCATTCTCTTGAGCTTGTTATTTGGTTGACATTCCTTGGAGGAGGAGGAGGAGTGTTACGGGGGGGGGGGGGGGTGGGGGTGGCGGAGGAGGAAAGAAGAGAGAGACTCTGCGAGCGAGCGTGCTGTTAGTTTCCTATCCCTGCAGGATTTCTAGATTGCAGACTGAGCTAAGAGCAGGAGGTTGGGCGACGTTGCGCGAAAGGAATGTTGCAAGGTGCTTCGTTTTGGATAAAGGCTGTTTGAACTCTGTTCGGGTCTTTAGGGAGACGGGTGGCGTCGGAGCCGGTGAATGGAGATTCCATGATGAGAGGCCACAAGGGTGTTTCTGTGCTTTCCTAACGTTAGTAAAGTTTTGGTTGAAAAAGGGTGGTGGGTGGGGGCCGAGATGATTGCGCAAAACAGATCGTTTGGAGTTGGGTGGACATTGCCGAATTGGGAGGACGTCCCCTCTCTCTCTCCCCTCACTGCCCCGTTCTCTTCTCCTTTTTTCCTTTATTTGCGTTGCGTCTGTTTTTGAGCTTCCTGCGTGCGGCGCTCAGAGATCGATGACATTAGCAATACACCCCTTGTGTCGACAAGATTGTGTTGCCCACTCTCCCCAGAAGTATGGGGGGAAGGTTAAGTGATGTATCCCAAAGCCCCGTGTATATTTCTGCAACCCAGCGAGAAGAGGAGGCGGTGTGTGAAGTGCAGAACTCAACCGGGGTGTGAAATTTCCAGGTGGAGGATGTTTGCAGGAGAACTGGAAAAACCCGAGGGTTTGATCGTTTTCTGTGTGGTGAGACGCAAGAGTGTGCAAGCGTTGTTTTCTTTCGTCTGAGTCGACGTGATTCACTGGTTGCGTCCCTTTCAGGCAGCGACAGTTACTAAAACCTGTTGCCCGGATGGGGGGGGCGGGGCGGGGGTGTGTGCCCAAATGCTGAGCGCGAGAGAGATAGAGAGCGAGTGAGCGTGTGTCTCTAAGAAGGCGTGTACAGTCTCTGTGGGATGAGCGAAGAGAGAGAGATAAACAGAGTGAATTTCCCTTGAAGAGTGTGACCATGAGCTGTTAGCAGATATATGAGCCGTGGTTTCCCCGAAAGTGAAGACAGGGTCTTACATTCTATATCCTCAAGAGACACCGTAGGCCTTATTTTTTTGGGGATGTGCTATGTTTTTTTACAGTACGGGGTGCCAACCATCTACATTGATGTGCAAATTAGAGTGGAAGTCGTCTGTCGTCTGGAAGATCAATCATCACTCTCCAAACGTCCTGAATTCCGCGTCCTGAGAGTCTTGCGATAGCGTCGTGTGTGCGCGTTATAGAACCACTGCGCCGCGAGTCTCTTCAATGAGCCGAGTAGGTTGTTTTTGTGTTTTTTGTGTGTCGAGCTCTCACGGCAGATGAGAGAGGCGTGCTTGTGTTCTTGTCGCGCGTCCACCACGACATGCCTGGGTTGTGCAAGATGCAGCTGCGTTAGCCACGCCCGCCTACGCACTAGGGCTTTATTTTCATAGCCACGCCAGCACTGAGGGCTTATTTTCATAGCCCACGCCAGACCACAGGGCTTATTCTTCAGTAGCCGGAGGCGCCAGCCACTAGGGCGTGAGTGTGCGAGTAGCCGCGCCGCCCAGTCCACTGAGGGCTGGGTGAGTTGCTTCATGAGCCACGGCCTAGCGCAGCTAGGGCTTGAGTTGGTGTCAGTGAGCGCGACGGGGCCCATCACCAGGCGTGATTGTTCATAGCCATTTCCGATCACTAGGGGCTGATTGTCATAGCCGGTACGGCCCGAGTCACGGGCGTGTAGCCAGATTGGTTCATAGCCACGCCCACCACTAGGGCTGATTTTTCACAGCCACGCCCACCACTAGGGCTTATTTTCATAGCCACTCCCATCACTAGGGTTTATTTTCATAGCCACGCCCACCACTAGGGCTTATTTTCATAGCCACGCCCATCACGAGGGCTGATTTTCATAGCCATTCCCATCACTAGGGCTTATTTTCATAGCCACGCCCACCACTAGGGCTTATTTTCGGGGTAGGGCTTCTATTGCGCACATGCTTAGACATCCTGCTGGGGCTTATTTTATGGGTAGGTCTTATTTTCGGGGAAACACGGCATTTCACACTGACCATGTTGCACGCATAGCTTGCTGGTCCACAAAGCATAGAGCAGAAATGCAAGTTTTGAATATAAAAACTGCAGCGTTTGGACTTGACCTTGGACAGAAAGAACGAGGCAAATGGAAACAAGAAAAACTGTCTCTTCTCCTCCGTTGAAATAGCGGGGTGCCTTTCACGTTCGCCCTAAGCCCTTGATAGCCGCTGTCCTCGCCATCTGTTCGCCTCTGCTTTTCTGTAACCCTGGTCACGCCAAGTGCTTGGGTGACAAAACCTGAGTCCAGACCCTACCTCTGTGTCTACAACTGCGCGGGGTTCTTTGCAAGGCGAAGACGCGGTGCACCTCACCGGCGGCCTGTGTGTTTCTGCTCTCTCCAGCACTGGGTATGGCGAGTGCTTGCTCAACGAGCCCGAATCCAGACCCTACCCTCTGCCTCCCCAACTGCCGGGCCTCCTTTACAACGTGAACAAACAGTGTGAACTGATCTTCGGGCCAGGTTCTCAGGTGTGCCCGTACATGGTAAGCGCACGGGGGCTGCTTCTGCCCCCCCCCCCTCGGTCCTGCGCTTTTCTGTTCATGCTTTTCCGCTGGATGCTTCCTCTCCGGGAGGGTCCCCAGGGCAAAGCTGAGAACGCAATGGGCGATCGGGGACCAGCCACCGTCATTTCTCTCCCTGAGCAAGGGAGAAAGTGAGGCTCTGTAGGGATGAGGCCAGAGAGCTGGTGATGAAAGAGCTCAGCTTTTTTCTCTCCTTGTCTCTTTTCACACCTGTTGACCTTGTCCAGGTGACTTAAATTGTAAGGACTTGGCCAGGCGCGTGGCGGCTCACGCCTGTCATCCTGGCACTGTGGGAGGCCGAGGAGGGAGGATCGCTCGAGGTCAGGAGTTCGAAACCAGCCTGAGCAAGAGCAAGAACCCATCTCTACTATAAATAGAAAGAAATTAATTGGCCAACTAAAAATATATAGAAAAAAATGAGCCGGGCATGGTGGCGCATGCCTGTAGTCCCAGCTACTCGGGAGGGAGGCTGAGGCAGGAGGATCGCTTGAGCCCAGGAGTTGGAGGCTGCTGTGAGCGAGGCTGACGCCACGGCACTCACTCTAGCCTGGGCGACAAGAGCGAGACTCTTTCTCAAAAACAAAACCCTAAATTCGAATCACGCCATTGCAGTGTGACACCCAGCACTCTTCTTTATCTCTGCGAGCCTCAGTTTCCCCATCTGTATTACAGGGAGGCGTGGCTGAGGGCCGGTGCTGTCACGGGGACCTGCCACGCACGGTCCTTCTAGGAACGTGTCTTACGTCGACTGCGCCCCTTGGAATATCTTTGCCATTGATCAGACCCAGGGAAAGGGGGGGGTCCTTTCCCCGCCCACCTCGGGCGACTGGCAGGGCCTCGGCGGGGGCCGCCTGAGTCACCCGGCCCTTGCCTGTCCCCCCCCAACCCGCAGATGCAGTGCCGCAGGCTCTGGTGCAACAACGCGGACGGCGCGCACAAGGGCTGCAGGACGCAGCACACGCCCTGGGCCGACGGGACCGAGTGCGAGCCCGGAAAGGCAAGTAGTGGCCCTGCCCGCTCCGTGTCCTCCTGTCTCGGGGCAGCCGGCCCGACACGGGGCCGTGCCCCCAGCCCCCGATGCTTGCAGCGTGAGAGGACGTGGCGTGTTCTGGCATGCACGGGGGGTGTCTCTTTTGCTTTCCGTTGCAAACTGTGAAGCTGACACGGTAGCATTGAGGCTGACATGTCCCTGTCATTATTGCCTCGATTTTTGCAGTATGAGAGGCATGGCAGGTCTGTCCCCCAGGCAATGCACTGAGTGTGTCGCCTTTTGCTTTCCGTTGGCAAAACTGTGAAGCTGACACGATAGCATTGAGGCTGACATGTCCCTGTCATTATTGCCTCGATTTGGGGACATTCCTTCGATGTATTTGCAGTGTAAGAGGATGCAGTCTGTCCCAGCAATGCACGGAGTCTTTTCGAGCAGGTTCCGCTTAAGGTTGCAGACTGTGAAGCTGACACGATAGCATTGAGGCCGACACCAGAGAGGTCCCTGTTGTCATTGCCTCGATTTTGGGACATTCCTTCGATGTATTTGCAGTGTGAGAGGATGCAGTCTATCTCAGATGCATGAGGTCTTTTTGAGTAGGTTAAGGTTGCAGACTGTGAAGCTGACACGATAGCATTGAGGCCAACACCAGAGATGTCCCTGTCGTCATTGCCTCGATTTTAGGACATTCCTTGGATGTATTTGCAGTGTTGAGAGGATGCGGCGTGTTCTAGCATGCACGGCGGGGGTGTCTGTTTTGCTTTCCGTTGCAAACTGTGAAGCTGACACGGTAGCATTGAGGCTGACATGTCCCTGTCATTATTGCCTCGATTTGGGGACATTCCCTCGATGTATTTGCAGCGTGAGAGGATGCAGTCTGTCCCAGCAATGCACGGAGTCTTTTCGAGCAGGTTCAGCTTAAGGTTGCAAACTGTGAAGCTGACACGATAGCATTGAGGCCGACACCAGAGAGGTCCC